TTATATACTGAAATGTGTAAGGAACAAAAGGATATCTGTTTTTAAAACACTCTTTACACCTAAAATAAAAAAATTTTAAACCTGTTTTAAAAATGTCATCTGTCTGTTTCTGGGTTTCTTGTGTTTTTTCAGCATGTTTGCCTTTAATTAATGCGTACACATGGCTTAAAAGCTGATTATCCTTAATTAGTGTTGTCTTTGGCCACACATTTTACCTGGGACCATTTGGCGAGGGCTAGATTTCACCTGGCATACATGGCGTATGAGTACTTTTAACTCGGTGTCAACAGTGTTCTCGTCTTCCACGTATGCTAAAAAAAAGAACAAGTGTTGTAACCATAAAAAGTCATTAATGTTGTCACACATACTGCTTTAAAATCCCACATAGATTAAGTATCTTTAAAATCAATAACAATATTGAATTAAAAATGAATGCAAATTTAAGAAACAACATTTGAAAAAATCTAAATAGTATCGTAAGTAGGAACATTTTAGAAATATAAAAAAAGATCATCCGCTGTTTTATTCATTTATTTTAAAGGTTACTGTTGAAAAGCGTTTAAAATTTGTTTTTCAGCTTAGTTTCTAAAGAAGGTCTTCAATTTGTTAAGGATGCAGTAGGAATAGTTTAGGTACATACATTTTTATAGTCTTCATATATTTTTTTAAGTACAACCATAGTTACTGGGTACTTTGGTTTTGAGGCACTTAACAGCAGTGTTCTGATGACTTATTTTCCTGGCCCCATTGTTCATCCCCTTTTCGGCCACGCCCCTGGACAATTGCATCGTGGCCAGGACTAACTGCCGCCGGTGGTAGGTTAACGGGAGGTGGTGACCCCACTCCGAGTCCGAGTCCTCCGTGTTTCCTCTGTCCGACCATTGAAAATGTTGATAATTGAATTCACACGTGAATGATCACAATCTTGAAGCCTTTACTTGGGCCTATTGGCCTGCTCCAGGACCTCTTCGGCGGCAGAATTTGGGTGCTTGGATGGTGGATTGCCCCAGATTGAATCGCTGGCTTTTTGGCCAACGACCAAGGACCAAGGACCAAGGACCAAAGCGAAATGCCACAGCCAAGCCAAAGCCCAAAACCGGGACCAAAAGCCAAGTAATTATGATCGTAAATTGATTAGGCAACAAGAGGCATACAAAGTTGGTGGGCCCGAAACAGGGATGTGGATGGCGGGAGGAGAAAGGGGGTTTGGTTTTGGTTTTGGTTTTGGTTCTGGACCGCACAAAAGGGGTTAATGGAATTAGTGTTACATAATCTCTGTTGTTCCACACAGCCAGCACTTGGGCCAAAGCTGATTTTGCTGCCGGGTTAACCCACAAGCAGCCCTTCGCCAAAGCCAAATCACCCTAAAAACTTTCTGCTTAGCTTAACTTTTTATATGCACTGCGCTCATAGTTTTGTAGCACTTTCCGCATAAAAAGATAACAACTTTTATTGATCTCAAGAGTCCCACCGAAAAGAGAGACGGAGACCGAGATTGAGACCACTTAAAACTTCAACACAAACAAATTCAAAAACATCAACTTGTTTACCCGCAAAGGATAGTGTTCGTCACTGGGTCCAGAGTTTTCCCACTTGCAAATTGTGTTTTGCATCACATCATTGAGATATGTTTATAAGGCAGAGTGGGTCATAAACATTCGTTACCTAAATAATTTATTAAATAACTTAGAGTGAAAAATGTTTACGAAATTTAATTTTTGGAAGAACTAACCATGCAGTTGAAAATATATTTTTTAATTCATCACCACTAAATCTTGGGAAATAATGCTCGAAATTTAAAACGGCGATGCCTTCATAAACTTGTCATTAAATTTGCAATTAAATTGCTTTCACTGCTTAAAATGTTTATATATTTATTTTTTTTTCGAAAAATAAAATTAATTGAAGCCCTTACTAAAAATGTGAAATACATTTTTCAGAATTGGGAGGGGGATGAATGCCAGATGCAAGGCCAAGTTACAACAAAAACACTTTAAGGAAATCAAATTTTTTTAAATTTAATTATAATAATTCTTACGAAATCTTTTTTTGGTCATCTCCTGTACCTAACTTTCAGTCTTAAGGTCGTACTCTACGTCTTATTTAGGCCAAATTTGTATTTCATTGCTAAAAGTGTGGGAACATACATTTCCTAGTAACTTAAAGATACACCTAACAGTGTCCTTTGACGCATCCTTGATAAGTCAAAGGTTTCAGGCGCTGTTTGTTTTTTTGTTCCTCTGCAGCGCTTGATGCAAATGCCCAAATGCATTTATCAGACAATGCCAACAGCAACAGCAAAGGCAACCTTCGTCACCCGGGCGAAATATCCTTTTAGCGCAGAGTGACCCTCGAGACCTTAAAAGGGTTAAGGCACACTACCAGTGGCAGTGGCAGTTGCAAATGCAGTGTTTTCGCACTCAACTCGAGAGCACTCAATTAGAAACGTTAAGCTAACGACCGACTCGATCGGCGGTACATGAACCCGAGGGGGACAGAGCTATATGAGCTATATATATAGGGCTGCACCCTTCTTCGATCTGCGACAATAACAAATAACAAATATCGAATAATGAATAATGAATAACGGCGAATGCTGACTTCTGACTATTGAATCGAAAGGAAAAATTCCATTCCATTCCACACAGCTCCTCGTATCGAATTAATTTGCCTAAAATGTGGCACAAATCTCAATTGCAGCAGTGCACAACAATAAACAAAAACGCCAGAAAGAAGCAAAGGAGCAAAGGACATGTGAGATTGATGACACAATCGAACAGGTAAGAGCAGTGGCGCATCTACGATTTTAAGTGAGGAAGGATGTTGTTCGGCATTTCGGTTGTCAAAATGTTGTTCTTTTTAGCATCCCTTTTTTATACCGTTTCTAATTTTCTATTTTAATGCCCACGCCCCCCTTTTCTACGCCACTGGACGCAAGAGCGAGATGGGGCAACTGAGACTGCCAAATGGAAAATGGATTTCAGTATTAATTTCGCTGACGACGACGACGAGGACGAAAACTAAAACGAAAACGAAGGCACGTTGGCAACATCAAAAGCGAGGCATATCCGTCTTGACATTCCGTCCGGGCTGCAGATGCAGATGCAGTAGATGTAGTAGATGTAGATGTAGATGCTGTATGATGTAGGATGCCAGGGTACTGCTAGGGGATTCCGGCGGAGAGGGAGTTCGAGGGCATTCCGGGGGACACAAATGACGGAATGTAGAAATGAAGAACGGGAGCAAACTGTGGTTTGCCATCTCTGCAATGCGCCGGACCCCGGAGCCAGAATCTAACTTCAATGATGGGAAAAGTACAAGGTATGGGCAAAAAAATATCCGTGGGTAAGCCGAAAGTGATGGTAAGGGTACCTCTACTATATTTGCCTACCCCAAGTCCGGTACTTATTGTGTACCTAAACAAAAAAATAGAAATGCATATTTAAATACCTCTAAAAAAGCACTTTTAATAATACTCAGTATAATTGATACTTACATTGAAAGTTTCTTTTTTTAAAGTGTACGTTCCATAAATGTTAATAGGTTATAGTCACTATAGTAATGTTATTCATGTACCTTTAATATTAATTAAAATATTTTCATTTCCTAATTATTATGCGATGAAAACATTTTTTTTCCGTGTAGGTAAAGACCTCGAAATTAATGTAATGTGTTATTTTATGATAATCTTTGTAAAATTGATTTTAAAATATGCTTTATTTGTTTCTTTATTCTCATTTTTATTATATAATGAATGTAAACATTGCAATGCTGCGTTATATTTTCGTCGTTTCCAAATTAATACAACAAGTGTCACTTTTTCTCCAGATTGTCCCCAGTTTTCTCCAAACTTTGAAATATAATCAATTAACAAGTTTCTAAACTACTTTGAGCAACTTTTCAAAGTGCTTTGAAAAACATCATGAATAAGTACCTAAGAAGTGTCCACCAACTGTCCATCACTGATCCTAACCATGTCAGCCGTGCTCTCCGTGCTTTCCGTTCTCCTTTCCCTTCCTGGCCCATTGGTTTTCGCTTTTACGGCGCGGGCACACCTATTTTCCAAAAGGATTTCCCAGCATTTGCGGCAAAATGAAGCAACAACAATGTTGCAAAAACAAAAAGGATAGCGAAAAAATAAACTAACGCCAAGTTGGCTCTTTGTTATTTGGGCGTTTGGCAAGTTTCTCGCTGCCTTTCCGTTTTTATACCCTTGCAGAGGGTATTAGAACTTGGATTAGGAGTTTCCGGCTCAGTGAACGAGATATTTGTGAACCTAAAAAGTCATTTCTGCATAAGCTGTCTGCCTCAACGCGGATTTGTCCGAGACTATAAAATCAATAGGGATGAATTTTTGCACAGCGTGGCTGGAGCTTCTGGATTTGGATAGGTATGTCATGTAGTTGTCTCTCAAGACCATAATAAATTGAACTCTTTTGCCACTACTGCCAAATATCATTATTCATTTTCAATAAAGACTCTTATAGTCGAATCTTAGTCTGTTTGTATCCAGGTTCGAATAAGAGTTGTGTTAGGACCAACATTTAATTAGTTGTAGACATTCTACAATGAGAGCAGGAAATTACTGACCTACAAGGGTATCCTCAGTTTCGTTCCTCTCAGCTAGCCCTAGTTCTTTTTTTGGCTCTTCTACTTGTCGTCGTGTCGTCGTCATACAAAATAAATGGAATATCTTCGCGTTGTGCTCCTTCAGGCACTTCCTCAACCTCCAGTGCATTTCCCCCACTTTTCCTGCGGTTTCATCCGTCATGCCTTGTACTTCTACCGTTTTTTTTTTTTGGTTTTTTGTTTTTTTTTTTGTTCTGCTGTTTTAGATGAAAAGTGGAAACGGGTGCTGGGGACTCTGTTGCAACTTATGCAAAATATTTGCACCGAAAAGGGTTGGCTAAGAGCGCTGGCGCTGGCATACACATAAATAATTTATGAGCATGGGACAAATTGAAATTACCATAATAAGGAGACAATAGAGAAATCACTGGTTTGTTTTTCCATCTACTCGAACTTTAATTGGATGCGTTTTAGCCCTGGCGGGCGCGTTTGCGTTCCTGGTAGCGAGCCAAGGCGGCATCGAAGACCTCGCCCACGGTCCTTTTGCGCCAGATGAGTGTGCGGTCCACCGGAGGCTTGGTTACCGTGGGCACGGGCAGATCCTTCTCGTCCAACTCCGCATCCGAATCTTGCTTTTTGGCGGGCGATTCCGTAGCTGGTGCTGCTGCAGTTTCATCGGCTTTGGTAGCTTTTGGGCTTTGCTGTGGCTTGTCCTTCTCCTTCTGGCTGCCCTTCTCCTTCTGGCTGCCCTTTTTGCTTTGTGATTTCTCCTGCTTGCCCTTCTCCGTTTTGTCATCCTCCTCATCGCTGGAGTCATCTATGCTAAAATCAGAATCGGCATCTATGTTGTTGGCCAGATGAGCCTGGGCTGGCTTGCTTTCCGGCTGATCGGCGGACGTGTTGGCCTCCGGATCCCGGCCAGACTTGGCCTTGGCCTCCACTTCCTCTTCCTGATCCTCGGAGGGTCGTCGTTGCCGATAGCTGCGGTGCTTAGCGGCCTCCGCCTTAATCGGTTTATACGAAACCTCATCGGTGGAGGGCGCCGTCTTCGGTTTAACCACATCCACATTTGCATCCCCTTCTGAGGGTCCCATCTTCTGTTCGTAGAGATGGCGATAGAAGCCGCCGAGATCCTTCTGCTTGGTGACATCGCCAATGGCCTCGAGGTACTCGTCGCGCTGCTCCTGCTCCTGCATCTGGCGTATGGACTCCAGCTTCTTGCGATAGGCAGCCGTCACATAGGTGTCCTTATCCTTGTACTTCTCGCCCTCGGCTTCGCGATCCTTCTGCACCTGCCGTTCGATGCGCAGCTCCTTCTCCAGCTTCCGACGCTCGGCGTGCTCCATCAGCCGGCCGATGTACTTGGGCTTCCGGGGCTCCAGGCTCTTCGATTGCTTGGCCTCCTCGCGTTTGTTGTCCATGTCATCGTACAGCTCGTCGTACTGGAAGATGGTTGGATCCTCGGCCAGGGCCTTCTGCTGCTGCCGCCGAGCCACACGGCGCTCCATCAAGCTGGGTCCACTGGATATCCCGGTTTTGGACTTCAGTTGTGGGGCTTTTGGGTCCGCATCATCGCTTTCGGAGGCACTGCTCTCGTCGAAAATGGCGGGCTTAACGGGCTTCGCGGGGACCTTCTTCTCTTGCCCCGGGATAATAAGTCCATATCTGTGGGTTGAATAGGCTTTAAAACCATTTAAACTCGCTATATTAAGTTATTAACTCACTGTTTGGACATTTTTTGTTTGTTTATAAGCGCATAAGAGTGACCGTTTCGGGCGGCCTGGAAAATACTGCAATTTCACTGCAACACTGCTTTTCAGGGGCAGCCCTGCGCCGGCTGAAAAAACAGTTGGAAAATCATCGATAGTCGTCGTTCGATAGATTTGATGGCAAGGGTTTGAACACAGGATTGCTCTAATAATAAATGTTAATATTGAAAACACCTTTTTTAAAAATATTACGCACAAAGCTACCTATATTTATATTTATTTATTTATTATTTCACATCCTAGCACTTCAAGTAAAACTTATTATTTAATGAGCTAGTTTCGAAATATTACAATATTTTAAAACTTAACCAATTGTATTTTATTTAAAAGGTTTCACAACTTTATTAAGTTGAAGTGGTTAACTGTATACAAACAAATATTTTTTAGCACGATTTTACGGTTTTTTTTCTAACTGACAAAATCAAGTCATTCCATCCTTTGATTCATATTATTTTAATGACTAGCCTTTATTACACAAATCAAGAAACTGTAAGTTAAAATTTTGCTTATCTAACTGGAAACGAATTAAATTTTAAAAACTGGAGTAAAGTTTTTTTAAAATGTTAAAGCTTATTTCTTAATTATTGAGTCACTGCTATCTGAACGGAATTCCCAGCCGTGGGTTGCGTCTCGGGAAACTATCGATAGCAGAATCGATTTTAGCCACATTTTCGCGCGCCCGGCCACACTATCCTCCATCTCTTTCCTTCCGTTTCCCTTTCTTTTCCCTTTTCACGTTTGCGTGAGTGCGTGTTCTCCGCGATTTTGTTCACTGAAATCGTAACTAAACTGATTTTATTTCCTCTATTTGCAGCGGTCGTGTAAATCAGTGTTTGCAAACCAATCCCAGGTAATTGCCGCTTCTGCTGGACCTCTTTTCACCACTAAAACGCAGCCAGATAAGATTTGCGGCGAGCGCCGGGCGAAACATGTGCAAATACCATTTTTTTGTTACAAATTTTTTTACTGTGGGCCGTGAGCCGAAATTGAGTGGTAACTTGGCAGTTTACCATGTAAACAATACATGAAGTGCCTCGCTAAATATTGGATATATCGTATATTTATATATACATTTTTTTTTTGGTTATATATTTTTTTATTGTGCAAAAGAATATGAAGTGAAATGATGGCCAAAAATTGTGTTGCACAGTATTGTGTTGTGCATGTGTGTGTGAGTGGCTTAAAAGTGTGGCCCAAAGCCTGGAATTTAATTAAATTAAACGCTCCAACAAAAGCCGGCTAAATTAAAAGAGTTTTGGAGCACTTGGCATGAGAAATTCAACCCGAAATAGTTGTTGTTTACAGCCACTTGCACACACACACACAAAAGCAAAAAAACACAGACAGTATATTTTTTTTTTTGTATTTTGCACGTGTTTTGCTTGCAGTTTTTTTTCTATTCCCCGTTACTTGTTGAGGAGAACTGAAACCCCCCTATAAAGTATATTTAGCGATATTAACAACCGATTTGATATAGTCTGTCTGACCGTGAGATCTTGGGAACTATTAGATCTAAGACCTGGAAGTATTGTCATGCTTATTCTTCCTCTTTCCGTGGCTTCACCATTTTTAGTGTTTGACAATTAATTTTGAGCGACTTGAGTTTGAATAGCAAATAACTAACCCCATACCAAACATTTTAAAAATCGGACCGTTTTTAACAAAGGTAATACAATTTCCTTGCTTTTCGTGGACTACAAATAAAATTGTTGATAGGTTGTATATTAATTTATGTAAAAACATTTCCTTGGATGTTTTTACCTAGTTTCATACATCTCAAAGAAGTTTGCCATTTTGGCCTGATTATCATAGGCCACACAAACTAGTTTTTTAAAGGTAGTCAGATTTTATTACGATGTAAGTTTTTGTATGTAGGCTCTAACCATATTAAATTGGATTTTATAGGACATATATTTTAGTCAGACAGTGAGTAAATGGGTATCTCGACTATACCCGGTTACTCGACTATACCCTTTTCAATTTTTTTTTGTGAATGGCGGACTTGCAGACCATAACTAACCAGACTTACCATCATTTTGCAGCCATGGTGCGTATGAACGTGTTGGCCGATGCCCTGAAGTGCATCAACAATGCTGAGAAGCGAGGCAAGCGCCAGGTGCTGCTGCGTCCCTGCTCCAAGGTGATCATCAAGTTCCTGACCGTGATGATGAAGCACGGCTACATTGGCGAGTTCGAGATCGTCGACGACCATCGCTCCGGCAAGATCGTGGTCAACCTGACCGGCCGCCTCAACAAGTGCGGTGTCATCTCGCCCCGGTTCGATGTGCCCATCAACGACATCGAGAAGTGGACCAACAATCTGCTGCCCTCCCGCCAGTTCGGCTACGTCGTGCTCACCACCTCGGGCGGCATCATGGACCACGAGGAGGCCAGGAGAAAACATCTGGGAGGCAAGATCCTCGGCTTCTTCTTCTAAAGCCACGGAAGATACAAGAAGAGACAGTCTGTGTGTGGGGAGTTGATATGTAGATTGACGTTTTATTTCACCGATACACACAATTATATACATCCAAAAACTACGTTTTGTATACAAACCACGGGGCGAGAACGCTGCTGCATTCATATAGACAAACCAACGACAATGAATGTTCTGTTCACAAAGAAACGCGAAATAAAATGATTGATACATAATAATTTTAATAATGATTTTGTTTACGATCTTTAAAATATGTAGTCCTTACAGTGATTAAACAACACCGACAGTAAATCAATCTGTTAACTTAAAACCGACTGTGTGTGTATAATGTAGTTTTTAGCGAAAGCTCCAAGAACTGAATTTTTGTCAGTTAAATATGAAAAGAATAGGAATCTTTAAGCCTTTATATTCCCAAAATCAAGGCATTTAAATGGACACACGCCATGTGGTTGCTTTCGCGGTTATTTTGATCATTTGCTACGTGTTTGGCATAATGAGTCAAGAATGTCTTGAACAAGATTGGTACTTTGCCTAAATTACCTGTTTCTTTACCCTTGAAGAGAGTATTAAAATTTTAGTCAGAAGTTTTTAACGCAGTAAGGAAGAAGTTGACTTTCTTGTTATTTCTTAAGTTTGCTTGTCTCCTTATCATTTTTTTATAAAGATTTATTATTTTAAATATCAGCCATCCATATTATCGATTTTCGCTGTACAATGTATAGGTAAATTATTGATAATTAATTGCACAGAAAACTTCTTTAATTAGAAAACGTAAAATTAAGCAACATAAAAAACAAATTAACTGAATTTACAAAACTGAAAAAATGACTTATAAAGTATACAATCCCAAAAAGACTTCTAGTCGTGGGAAAAAAAATAAACTCCAGTTTTAAATTCATTTCGACACAAAAACTAAGTTTTTTATGTGTTTTTTTTTTTACTTTTGGCGATTTTTCAAACATAATTATTTCTTTTTGTTGTAACTTTGCCTAAATAAGACCCAAAGTCAAAAAAATTGCTATTTTGAACAGCTGGCAACCTATACCATTCATGCCTGATCTATTGAAAAAAATTCATTTAGTTTTGACAAAAAAACCGAATTTTGAAAACGGTTTTTTTATTTTTGTCCAAATTTCTGACTTTTTTGTAAGGGGGTACATCATCATTTTTTGCAGAAATTTGAAAATCTGAAAAAATTTTAACTGTGAATGCCATTCGATCGGAAATTTTATTACGAATTCAACGGTGTATGACATTCCAACATTTGACCATTATTTCACAGGATTTTGACACAAAAATGTGTTTTTTGGGATTTTGGAGAAATTAGAAAATTAAACAATTCCAAAGAGTCTTTTTGTTGTAACTTGGCCAAAATAAGACGCATAGCCATAACAGTGACTGTTTTATACAGCTGGGAACCTTTAAAAACAATCCCAACCGATTTACAAAAAAATCATATTATTTTGATATAAAAAACGAATTTTCAAAGCTGTTTTTTTCAAAATGACCAATTTTTGCATTTTCTTATAAGGAGTTCTCCTATTCTGCCAAAATTTTAAAAACTAGAAAAACTTAAGCTGTGAATGCCATTTGAATGGAAATTTCATTACGAATCCAAACATGCATGACATTCTATCGTTCGGCTACTATTTCCCAGGCTTTTAATTCAAAAATGCATGTTTTTACGGTCCTTTTACATTTTTTTAACGACATTCAAAAACTATCTAAAATTGGCGGGCTGCGAATTCAGTAGCCTGCAGCCCTGGTGGTAAGTGCCTTAAAACTCACTCTAATCACCCAAAGCTTGCGTTTTGTTCAACACTATTTACACAATTCAAACCACATACATTTTATTGCCTACTTTGCGGCTTTTTCTAGAAGCCGTTAAATTTGAGTTGATTGCATATTGGAAATTCAATTATATCAATCCGATTCGTATCCTGACACAAATACGATTTCAATATGTGGACAATTGCGATGCAATTAAACTTCATATTGGCTACCGAGCGATATCGGTGTTGCGTGCGGCTTAGAATAAAGGTAATTGATGAGTTCAAGTCCTTATCCATCTGGCGTTATCTTTTTCGGGGAGGGCCGACTACAACTGGAGAATAATTGAACTTGGCCAACACACCTCCGCATATCCTTATCGCAGAGGTAATTGAAAGGTCGAACCATTGATTAATGCAGCCCACAATATGGCGGAATTTGCCATTTCGGGCATGTCATTCCGCACGACCCATTCCAACTGATATAACTAATACCACAGAAAATGCCTCCCGATTACGAGTTATCAGTCTATAAAATAATCAAATTACGCCACAGACAGCACTACAACATATTGCTAAACGTTGTTGTTAGAAAACTAGTTCCAATTTTCTAAAGTTTTAAGCAATTAATTATAATATTAATATTAATTGGCTTTTAATCAACTTTAGATTCTTACATTTTTATGTTTGTGGTTATATGAGTTACCCCGCAGTATTTTTCAGATGATATTACCTATTTACAGACCTGTGAGAATGGTAAGGCTTCATTTTTCTAATAAAGAATAATATAGGAATATCTAATTGCGGGTCTTGCAGTAATCAATTCAATAACCCTTTTATGTCAATAATTATTAAATTCCATTTCTGATGATTTCAGGTGTTAAATTGGTTTTCTTAATTATTAACTTACTACAATTACAACTATTATTTTCCCCTTAGCTGTTTGTGTATGTACTTGTTTTACGGATACTGACTTCCAGCGATTGGCATATGGTATATGTATATCAGGGGCATTTTTCCCACCCACTTGCAATTGCTGCATCATTCGGCCGGGTGAAATTCCATTAGAGCAAGTGCGTTATTCAGGCATCGCCTCAACCAATAACTATCGATTCCTATTTATTGGCCCATTGAAAGTCGCCGACAATGGCATTTGCAACGCCCTCAATAGGCCAGTTGGCATAGAAATCGGGCTCAGACCAAGATTGTTGTATATTTCTGTAACTTTTTGTGCCGGTTTGGGTTTTGGATGCAATGATTCAGCAGAAGCAATCTCTTTTTGCAGCTGTCGTGCGACTGATGAATATGAATAGAGCGTTTTCTGAACAACTTGGCAAAACAAGCTCAGGTAAAAACGATTGGCAATCGAGCAGTTTAGACATCACGAAGAAGGGGTGCCCTTACTTGAGCCATTCTAAGAAGTAGTTACTTGCAAATGTTTTTATAAAACACATAAACCAATTCTTTCCCCTTCAAGCTAAAGCAAAAACAGTGTGGTCTAAACAGGGAAAGCCATTATGGGGCTATTTTATGTTAACTTCCATTGTGTGTAAAGTGAACTTGAGTATCGTATCGCAAAATTAGCAGACTGATAATGGCAAACGCAACGTTACTGCCGGAATGAGTCGGCCATACCCTACCGATCCAGCAAAAACTAACGACGGATCAGATCGCACCACTTGGCGTTGGAAAAGGGTTACTTTTTTTCTCCAGAAGGTTCCAAAAGCTTTTTCACTGCCTCGCAGCTGGTCGGAAATGTAGATGTATTCATTGGGCACCCAGGTACGTTTGTTTATACATATACACCCATCATGTGGAGAAACTAGTTTCGATGGAGGCGCTTTAGATAGAGATGGAGATCCGACGAAGACACGTCGTCTGATGTCCCGCTCACTACACGTAATAGTTGAACCATGGGCAAGGGGAGACTACTAGGTAACTGGAGAGCTAACAGAAACACAAATATATCTATATATATATATATATATGTATGTATATAATAACATACAACAGAGTCAAGACCCGCTTTATATGCAAGCCTCAAGACAAGGGATCCACGTCAACTAGACGACTCTCGCTTGCACTTAACATTGAAATGCTGCCGGCTGCCTTGGTAATGGGTGGTAACAAAACGGGAATTGTGCACTCGGTTACTGTGTCACCAACGGCTGTTGCTGCACTTGGAGAAAATATTGCATATACATATTAATTAGTATCAGCTCAAATAGATCAGCAGTTTTAAAAGTGCATTTATAGGCCTTTAGTCAGGTCGGTATAGAATATAGCCTCCATGGTTCAGCAATTTAATACTTTTTCATTACAATGCCTTATTTCTCTCTGTGCAGCTGCCCCGACGTCACTGTCTCATCGGGGCTTTCTTAGCACTCTGATTCAGTTTATTTCTTATTTCGCAACTGCCAGTCGCAGACGGTGATAAGTACGCCGCATACACCTCTATTTTTTCCAACTTTTTTTTGTGGAAATGTGTTCCCGGTGCGATAAGCGCAGAGGTTTGAGGCGAAAGTCCGCCCGCCACCCCCTGATAAAGAACCACGTGCATGCATTCTCTTCCGTACAATCATTTATTGTGGTGAATTATGGTTCATTACAAAAAAAAAAAAAAGCACACAAAAGAACAATCACTTTCCGCTTAGCTGCTGCAGGTGTTTTTTGTGGGATAGTTGGTTGTTGCAGGGAAAGAGGTGCTTCACAGTTTCTTCTCACTACGCTCTAGGGTTAATATGTAGGATATATGTATATATTATATGTATTTGCACAGGCGGGGGTGTTGCGATTCGAATCCGCTCCTGCTCGCCAGGAGCAGCCCCCGCCGATGGCGGTAGCTTCTCTTTGCTTAGGAGGTGGTCTCGAAGTACTCCTTGGACTTGGTGGGATCTGCCACCATGGTCTTCTTGCCGGGCTTCCAGTTGGCCGGGCAGACCTCACCGTACTTGTCGGTGTATTGGAAGGCCTGCACGAGGCGCAGGGTCTCCTCCACACTGCGACCCACGGGCAGATCGTTGACAGTGATCTGGCGCAAGTTCTGCTTGTCATCGATGATGAACAGGCCGCGGAAGGGAATGCCAGTCTCCTCGTCGAGCACTCCGTAGTCGCGGGCCACCTTCATCGACTTGTCGGCCAGCAGCGGGATGTCCATGCTGCCCAGACCGCCCTGCTTCCTGGCCGTATTGATCCAAGCCAGATGGGTGAACTGGCTGTCCGTGGAGCAGCCAATCACCTCGCAGTTGATCTTGCGGAACTCGGCGGCGCTCTCCGAGAAGGCAATGATCTCGGTGGGGCACACAAAGGTGAAGTCCAGCGGATAGAAGAACAGTACCAGGTACTTGCCCTTGTAGTCGCTCAGCTTGATGTCCTTGAACACGCCGTTGACGACGGCGGTGCCGGAGAATTCGGGAGCTGGCTTCTGTAGCTGGGGCATCTGTAAGGGTTCAAAAGGGTTTACACATCACAAAAAAGTCGAAAAAGCCACTCTAAAGGAACGAGTAATAGCAAAAACATGGTGCTTTGTAAGTCTCCTTATCTCAAGAACTTGATTAGAAAAATCCCCCGTACCTCCTGTTAAAATCGAGTTTCCGGCTAAAGCTGCCTATAACTATACAAAATTATTATAATCTTGCCTGTCTAACACTAATACTCATATTGATTATTGTAAATGAAAAAACATTTATTGCCCTAACTGGCTTAAGTTTTCGTACCACTGGTTCGAAATTGTAATTTATAAATTTAAAAAACTGAATTTTCTATTAATTTATTAGAAAAAAAAACCACATTTACAATTTTGTAACAGAGAAATGTTAAAAAAAAATTGTTTTAAAATTTAATTAAAATTCTTTTATATTTAAATATCTTAATTTCTCTAATAATCGTTTATAGTTATAGTTTTTTAAAAATTTAAATATTTATTTTAAAATTTCAAATTCTAATGAGACTTTATATTATTTAAGCAAGACTTCAAAATTTCTCAATTGTAATTTGATTTTGTAGATAGGGCCAACAACAATCGTTTTAAAGTTGAAAAATCAAAAAAGGCAAAGCTCATACCTCTCTGGAAGTCTGTATAACTCAACGAACTAATGTGGCAATTATATGAGTTTAAGTGTAATTGCCCTTTTCCAGATATTTCGCCATAAAATAGGGGGATTTGAAGAGAAGAAAAGCTGAACTCTACAAAATGGCTGACGAAGGCATGAAATGGAAGAAACCCGGAATAATAAATTAGTCCACAAATTCTTGAACTTTCGGCACGTTCGCATAACTTTTGGCCATGTAATGAACGCTACGAATTGTAGCGAATTAATTACAAATATTTCTGAATTGCCAAATATTTTCCTCTCAATTTGATTTCTTTTTCCCCCCTTTTTTTTGCCGGCTAAGCATGTGTGTATGTGTGTGCGACGGACGTGCCAATAAAGAAAAAAAATACTTTGAATAAAAGAGGAAACTATGCTCTCGGTGCGGTGCGAAAACTTGTGAAATAATCTCGAGTCGAATCTGGCGACCCAACAACATCATCTATTTTTTTTGCACATCCACAGACAACACATATTAGTGTGTTACAATCTTACGCTCTCCCGCAATTTCTCCCTGACTTTGCCCAGAATTAGCGACCTGTTCATCGTTGAAAGCACTCACTTTTACTTTAGTTCAGTAACTGTTAAACGAATCGGTAATTGCTCGACTTCCGCGTGGGTTATCTCTAGCTGCAGTTCTAGCACAGACCTTTCGGCTCGGGTAAAAATTCGCGAATCAGGGACTGGATCGTGAAACTATAGCTTATAGTATAGCGGCGGAGGAATATCGATGCCATCATCGATGTCAGCATCGATGTTTTCAAAAAATCGGTTTCATCGATGTTTGGCGGGGCAACATCGAGGTTTTCCCATCTCTAGCGTTTTGTCAAAATAGAACCTTTGCCGAAATAAGCACAAATCATAGACACCAACCTTTATTTAAATCTTGAACGAATTCTAGCGGTGACGCGAACCCACTGTAAACACAAATTCTTGGCTGTTATCGATATCCCAGTTTTTTCAATTCAAATGGTTTAAATTACATATCATGAAAATTATATTTACTAGTTTAATGGTTTTAAATGCTTACTTTTTTCAAAATATGTCGAGGTCTTAACAAAATTAAGAAACAAAACAAAAAACAGTAAACAGAGCTACAAAAATATATAGTATCCAAATGTTTAGTTAATTAATTCTAAACCTTCTTAAAAATACGACAACAAAACACCCGATTAAAAATGTTACATTTTAGAAAAGCCCAAAACATTATATTACTGAAGTAATGAAAGCGTACGTCATTGGATCATAACAAATTTGTTGAATTAATTGCAACTAAACTGATGGTACCTATAAATAAATGCAATTCTTTTTTGAAAAGATACACCATTATGTTCAAGCAATAATAAATTAGCAAATATCTCCTGTTACTTATCCCACATATTAAATAATACAAATACCTTCTGGTTTAACTGAATTTAATAGTGCACAATTAGTAGTATTTAGTAGGTATTCGCATAACCAGTACATTAATGTCTAAAACTAAGCTCTTGTTGCGCGTTGGGTGTTCTTGGTCACTTTTCGTATCGCCATCGTTGCGATCGACAATCGACAGTTTTGGATGCCTGCGTATGGTGTTCTCCAAGCACTAGCTATTCGGATCTCTCGGGGATTCGCCAAAAGTGTATTTTTTGGATAAATAAATGTAAATAAATTACACTACAGAACAGCGGTTCCAGCAGCAGCACATAATGTATACATAAGCTAGACTATATATTTCCTACACGCATATCATATAGTAAAAATACATACATGTATGTGTATGTATGCATATTGTGTTTTCAGTCTTTGATTTTAAACTTAAGGGGTTAAATGTACGCAAACTGTTGTAAAAAAAACAAAAAAAAAATATATAGTAGTTAGCTTAGACTAGGAATTTTGGGTAGTAATCGAATCGGGAAGTAGGAGTGGAAGTGGAAATGTCTTTGTCTTGGGGCCCAGCCCCGAAGCCCCCTTAAAACCCACATCAGGGCTTGTCTTCCACCGCCTGCTCATCCTCATGATCGCCGCCGCCAGGAACTGGCGATGGTGCAGTGGGGATGGACGATGCCTCCGCTTCCATGGCCGCCTGCAGCTCCACAAAGATGTCGATGAGATTGTTGATCCCGATGAGATAGCCATCCTCGTGGTTGCCCACCTTCCAGGCGGAGTAGTGGTCGATCCGCAGCTGCGGCGGCAGCTCCACCGTTTTCGCGAAGTCGATTAGCCAGATGCTGGCGTGGGTCTGGTCGTGCACGAAGAGCAGGGAGCTGCCGATGACCTCGTGTGTCTGGAAGAACTCCGATACGGCCAAAGTGGCGCGTATTGCTCGCAGACGCTGAATGTAGCGGGGCTGTAAAAAAAAGCGCAAGGCAGGGAATTCCCCAAGTTAATATCATGCAACACTATATGTTTGGTTATCAAATACCCACCAGAATGTGGGGATGACCGCTGAGGAACTCGACAAAGGCCAACTTGATTTGTTCGCGCGACTTCGTCGTTTTGAAATCTTTGGAACTGGTGCCATCGCTCTTCTTGATGCCCTGCAAAAGTAAATTATTCAATAGATTATTTAGCCGAATATAAAAAATATAGATAATCCTTAAAACAGTATAATTTTTCTTTTTTACTTATTAATTGAAATCAAATGACGTTCCTTGATTTGTTTTTAGTAGCAGTCATGGAAAAAGTCAATAAGCTTGCATTTGTATAAACCGAGATGCGAAATAAATGCCGAATTGGAATAAATAGTGAAGACAACATAGACCTTGCAATGAGTTTATAAACGAACAACTCAATTGATTAAATGTAAAACTCTACGAGTTCTTATTGTCGAAACCAGAGTCAATAAAATACACATTAAATTAAAAATTAGAATTAAAGGTAAACCCACCTCAATGCGGAATCCCAGCGTGGCCGTGCTGGAGATGGTCTCCCGCCAGACCATGTATCGCGGCTTGGTAACCGCCTTGGCCGCGTGCTCCTCGGCGGTGGGGGCGTGGCCGTCGATCTGGATCATCTTGTCGTACATGTCCTTGCGCAGCTTGGGCTTCTCCTTGGCCTTGGACAGCTCCTCCTCCAGATAGGTGCGCACGCCCACCTTGCAGTCCATCACGCACGGCTGCACATAGTCGCTCAGCAGATCCTGCAACTGCAGGTAGACTGGCGAAGAAGTCAAAGATGTAGATTAGATTATAATTTGAAAATAAAACTCATTTGCAGAGCCAAAAATAGTTTTCGGTCTAAGCAAAACATTTAAAAAACCCTAAATTCATTTCGATTTCACTTATGCGTTCAACCCAAGAAGACAAATTTTTCGACAGAAAGTATCAGTATTTTGACCATAAAAATGTAAATATTGACCCAATAATGCAATGTAATACCTCGTTGCGCTCGTTATGAAGTCCCCAATCGATTGGCGTTAAAAGCTGAACATTTTAATTTTTGATCATTTTTTGCAAATAAATAAAAAATGTAAAAATTGGCTAAAAAATAAAATGTTCAAAATCAGTCAGTCAGTCAAAGATATCGATTCCTAAAGTCCTTACCTATACAAAACAGTTCGATTTTCAATTGTGGATCTATTTTAGACCAAGTTATGACAAAAAATAAACGCTTGAAAAATACTTTTTTTTCGAAAAGTACTGATCCGGATTCCACCTAAGAAGTGCAATTTGTGGCCCAATAATGCAACGTCATAGCTTTTTGAACTCGAAACACAATTTCCAATCGATTGGCATTCAAAGCTGAAAATGTATGATTCTGATCCATTTTCACTAACAAAAAAAAGGATGTTACCCCTTAATTTTTTTCAATTTTTCAAAATCAGAAAGATAGTCAGGGAAATATTCTTATTTGTTATTTAGATAATGGGATCCACCATTCCTAACTTACGTTCGCCATCCTCGCTGGTCACCTGGCCCTTGTAAACGGGCACATAGGGCCTGAGGAGATCCTGCATGAGGATCTGGAAGCACTCCTCCTCCTTGGGGCACAACTTCTTGAGCACAGTGCCCGGTTCGGGACCCGCCTTGAAGTTGCCCTGGTGTCCGGCCAGCTGGACCCATGGATAACGCTGCTTCTTGTACGTTTGGAAGAAGGGCGTCCACTGAACGATGTTGCGGATCTTCCGCCAGCCGGAGCTCTGCAAAGATCAGGGGGGTATATCAATTAATCAATGGGTTCAGAGTTTTTTGTTTCTATATGCCAATAATTATTATAATTTATAAATACCTCATAGGAATACCAAAAAAAATTTACATCCATATAAAGTTTATAAATAATTTTAAATGTAGATCCTTAATATCTAAATGAAAATTATTATATTCAAGCATTTATAGATAAAATTATAAATTGATTTATATATATTTAGGTTTTTATTTGCTATTTTCTTTTGCTCTATTTTACAAAACACATTACCGTTGCTAAGAACATATTATTCTGGTACTTAAATGTTGGTTTAAATTGCTTTTGTCTCAGTAACTAATTTATTTGTGTATTGGAATAAAAACAGAAAAATAAATTACAAAAGACAGCTGACTAAAGACCCAATTTTATGCCCTGATTTTTCAGCTGAGCTCTCATTATTCAAGCCATTATTCATATGTAAATACCAGTTAACCAGCTGAAAAATCACGTGGAAATAAATTATTTGTTCTCTACTAATTAGGTTGTAGCATTAAAAAATAAGACTTTGAAAAATATGGTATGAATACATAAAATTTTTGTATATATTATGTTTGACTATTTTCGGAACTGATTTTAATATAATAATTTAAGATTAAGCCTCATTAAACTTAAATATGATGCACTTAAAATTTTTAAACAATTTTTCACATTAATTGAAATATTTTTAATATTAGATCATGCAATTTAATATGCATGGTATTTATTTATTTGTATCAATTTCAAGTTGAAATTCTCAACAGCCATTCCATTTATATATCAGTGAATGATCCCAGATACAAACCGTTTATTTTGTTTGAGATTTGTATCTAGATATCTGGATACCTAGATATCCTACCTTCTTGGCTGCTGTGGCCTGAGTTGAGGAGCCGGATCCGGTTGCCGAGCCGGCCGCCGAAGTGGACACATCCGAGTCCCACTCAGAGCTGAGATCATCGCTGCTGGCGTACCCGTAGTCCCGGGGCATGGGCACCTCCAGCAGGGACTTGGAGTACTGGATGTAGCCGGGGCAGAGGCTCTGGCCCAGTGGTGAATGCGATCGCCTCGGACCCACGTTCGTGGTGGGTGAGCCGGGTGAGCCGGGTGAACCGGGCGATTCCAGGGGCAGCGAGTGCTGCTGCGACAGCTTCCGACCCAAGCCCAAGCCCAATCGACCCAGGCCACAATTGTGGGCCATATGTTCGCCCGAATTGGCCGTTATGCTTATAGTGGGCATCGATAGCTTCTTCTCGGCCCGCTGGCGAATTCCGTGGGCCTGGGCAAAGGCTAGGCTGCACTTCCGGGGCTGCATATTATTGCCGGAGAGTTTGCGGCGAAATATCTTCTTCGACGAGGAGGCGCTGGGCATGGCCTCTGATCCTTGACCCTTTTGCGTTTCCGTCTCACTGCCCCCCGAATTGGGTCGCCTTCCGGTATCGCTATCCTCATCGGCCTCATCGGCATCATCACCCATCACGCCATTTGCATCCTCACCATTACCATCATCATCATCATCATCATCGTCTGCGAATTTCAGCTTGGATATCTCCTCAGGTGGAACATCGGGAAAGTGGAGCAGCTTCACGGTGACCTTCTTGCCCGCTTCGTTATAGTACACCTCCTTGGCGCTCATCCTGTCGAAATCCTCGTAGATCCGTACTTGTGGCGAGGGTGGCGGAGTGGGTGGCGTTATGGAACCCTTTGCTTTGGCTACACCACTTCCGTTTCCGGTGCCGTTGCCGTTTCCGGTTGCCAAGGACGGTAATCTCGTTGTCTGGTTCTTTGGCTTCTGATTATTTTGATTGGGATTGAGGGCGCACACGGACATTTTACATGGAATCTGGCCCACGGCACTCGGTTAAGTGCATCAGTGGAAGTTTATAGCTTTAGCGAATTAACCAACCGCCTCTGCAAGTGTGGGTATCAAAAATTGCAGATAGAGATTGTGTTTATAGAGAAGTCGAAGTCAGAGAGTTGGAGAGCTGGGACTGCATTTCGGTTTCTGCTTATTTGCGAACTTGTTCGCGCCTAAAAACCGCATCTGTCTTATTAACAACCCAAGCAATGGGTCTCCCTACCAACCAAATACCCTCCAATCAAAGGTTGGGTAACCTTTAGTTGAACCCTTAACAAAAATCGTGTTTAGTCCCAACACTTTAAACAATCCACTAAATTGATTGTCTCTTAAACAAAATGAGAGCACTTAATATAAGCTTTCACCCTTATAATAATAATAAAGAAGCAAAATGCTACAAAAAGCTACACAACCATAACAAAACAAATTGTAAACACCTAATAAATCAAGTAGGCATTCCAAAAAAAAGGCTTCGAAATTTGTTGTTATTTTCCAAACGACAAAAATCTATTCCAACAAAAATTTTTGACAAATATTACATTTTTCGCGTGTGAATTAGTTTCAATAGTCATTAAGTATTTTAAAATATGGCCTTTGTTTTGACCTAATAAAGCTTCATATTATATTTGATGCTGCTCTAAAAATTATGTATTTACAGACCTACAAGCCGAAAAAAAGTTCTTAAGGAATGTCTAAAAGGGAGAGACTTTTTTTGGGGTTTCCAAAATTAATTTAGAGCTTGTACTCTAGAGTTTTTGGAGGGAAAATAATTCGAAATCCCTTTTCTATCAGGGTATTATCGCTTCGTTGCAGCTGGATTTTTGGCCTTTGACTGCTTTTGGGTTGATGTTGTTGCTGCTGCTGCTGCTGCTGCTGCTGTAATGCGCACACATCAATCAAAATTGATTAAATTAAATACATATATATGTATGTGCCATGTAACACAGCCCGCAAAAGTGAAAAAAATAAAAAAAATTTAAAAAAGTAAAGACAGACTATAGAAACTAAGTAGGCATTGTCGGAGCGTGTTGGCATCTTGGCAGCTCCATCTGCGGCATCCAACAGCTAGAAGCTGGCAAAATGGGGAAACTGGCGGCAACCGGCAAGCAGCAACACCTAGTAGCAATCAGCAACCAGCAACTAGCAACCAGCCACAAGCAACCACAAGCGAAACCGCCCAGAGTCGGGCAAGGCAATCCAATCCAATCCGAAACCCAAATCGAACAGCACATTATGATAATAATGGAAATGCCAGCGACGCGGCTATCCAGTTACGCCAGTGCACAACAGCAACAGCAACAGCAACAATATACCTATACCGAATATTCGTATGTACATACAATACATTTAGGTATATATCTCCTACCATATATACCTACATATACGAACTGAAATTTCTTTATAACATTTGACGTCATTTGCAAATGTTGACGCCGTCGTCGCGAGGCGATAACGAAGTAACAACAGCAAGACTAACAAAAACAAAAACAATAACAGCAGCAACACGAACAACAGCAACAGCAACATCAGCAACATCAGTAGCAACCACATGTCTGAAGAACTTTGGTACTACCCATATCAAGTATAGATCGTAACGCTTAGGGTACTACTTAACGATCGACTACTATATATTTGGCTTATCTAATTCCAAACCAAAGTCAGGGGTTGCCCATGCAAGGGCTTGAATACTAAGTGTATGTAAGTGGGACAAGGGTTTCGAGTGTATCAGTTCTTCCAGAACATTCACTGGTTCGCTAACTACAGAGTATTCTAAACTTAAGGTTGATCAATCAATGTAATGCCGATCAGGTTTTAACTTGAAAAGGGTTTTATGTGGTTCAGTTCTACGAAAGGCTAACAACCTCATACCAAATAGTTGGTATAGGATATATGAGTGGATGTGTTTGAAATCTAGTACTAATTCTCAGCAAGGGCTTGTACTAAATGAGTACTTATTTCTTGCCGTTAAGGGCAATGGTGTTTTACTAAATACTTGGGTGATCCAAGTCCAAGTTAAGTTAAAGTTACCTGACAATGTTTCCTTTTAATTTTACTTTAGCATTATTGATTATTGTTTGAAAGACAGTGACCAATGCTATTTATAAATCATTATTTCCAATGTTTCCGATTTACTGAAATAGTCTTCATCGAACTTTCTTTCCTTAGTTCCTATTGTATTATTATTATATATATAGATCAGCCAGTTATGACGTATGTGTGATATTTCTTTATTTAATGCGACTTGCTATTTGAGTACAGAAAAAGTTATTTATAGGAAGCACTAATCAATTTAAGATTGAAACATTTCTTTATAAAAGATTTCCTATATTCCTTGGGTCTGCTATTTACATTTAATTTTTCATTTACATCCTACCTTTTATCAGAGAGCACTCTTTGTCTTATCTTTCGTTATCTTTATATTTCCATCTGGCTGGGCTTGGTTTTGGATTGCGATCCGTTTTAAATACCAATTTGCTTGTTATCTAATAAAAACAATTGTACAATCTTCGATGCCGTCAACACCAGCGACAACTATGAATGGCTATAGTAATGGCAATGGCAACAAAAGCCACAAAAACGATAACGACTCGATATATCGCGCTATCTACTATGCATATAGATACATTAGATCGTGTGTCTGGATGTGAGTTTTGCGGGGGTACGTTATGGGGTAGTGCAACCCCAACTTGGCAGCCCTCCCCATGAAATCCACCCACCCCACTCCCCACTCCTCATTCCCCTCTGTCCTCTAGTCCCCCCTCAAATTAACAGCACCACCCACTCACCAAAAATGGACACAACGAGCTTAATGCGCGCCATTCACATTCACATAACAATTTCTTTCTGTATTTATTTATTTTTTTTCTTTTTTTAACTACCAAAAGCTTAAAATTAATAAAGTAAACAATTTGCTGTCAACCTCCTCTCCTCTCTTTATCACCCTCGCTCTTTTCATTTCTCTGAGTGTGAGTCTCTGTTTCTCTTCTTCATTTCGAGCACTGAAAAATGTATTGTTAGCTTTCAAAATCGAAATGGAACTGATTTTTAAAAGTTCAATATGTTTCAAACTAAAAAATATTTATATATTGACATTACCCTTTTTAAAATAAAATATATATTTTAAAATTCTCAAGCCCAAAACTATATATTTTCACACTAAAACAAAAAGAAATCTCAGATTGCTATTTTGAAAACCGTATATTCCAAGGAATATAGAAATATACGTAAAGCTAAGAAAAATACCCAATAACTAAGGACCTAAGTATAGAGTTACATTAAAGGAAGATATGTATACATTTCCAATAAAAAAATTTAAAAAAATTAATGGTAATCCCCGATTTTATTTAACAATTCGTTTTGTGTGCAGGACAAAGCTAAACTTGACATTAAATATGGATCTGCTAATGTTTTTTTTTTCGGTGTGCGCCATTGACGCACAGAATGGATTTTGGTTTCGGGGATTCGGTTTACGGTTTTCGGTTTTGGATTCAGATACGGTTTTGGGCCTCGGGATGTGGGTGGTTGGGCGGATGTTATTGAAACGATCAAGCGCCAATTAAAGGGGAGGGTGAGGGGTGATTTAGTTCCATTTTTGGCTACTTAATGAGCTTCAATTGCCGAATTCGCTGTACGTACGCAAATGAACACGATATCTGAAGGTGCTGGCTCTTCAATTATATAATTCACAATTTATTTTTGGGAAGGGGGAGGTGTTGTTGGGTGTTATTGGGTGTTATTGGGTGGGTGTGGATGTGGGTGTTGCTCCCAAATTGCGTAGCACTCAATTTGAATGGGGTTTATTTGGGCGGGAGGGGGGTTTGGTTTCTGGTAGGGGCGTTCTTATTGACGTCGTTTATATAGTGTGTAAATGTTTACATAAACCTGAATACTCGGATTTTCGGTGCAAAAGTCAGTTCGCTATTTCAGTCATCTAGTATAAGAGTTCTGTCTGCCGCCTGATGTCTCCCTCCATCTCTCCTCTCTCCCTCACTCCGATTCTAGCTGTCTCTCTCTTTTGAGGGGCTTTGGCGCGTGCTTCAATTAACACACTTTACAATGACAGCGGCATCACGAAACAGCAGCAACACATTTCAGATTCGACAACTTGCCACTTGGTTCTTTTGAAATTTGTGTTTAAGTTACAATTAGAACACAGTAAAAAAACAGCTGTCACACATGTTATTCATTTTGATTAATATTGATTCGAAAGTGCCAGTAAAATTAATTGAATTTCATTTGTCTTCAGTTTGTACATATAACAGCATTATCACCAATATACCATTATCTTTAAAATAAATATACAAATTCGAAAAATAAGCACACAAATCATATAGATAATAAATTGTAAAAAAGCTGCCTGGCAAATACATTTTTGTTAAATCTATAATATATAGAAAAATGGTTCAAAATCTAATTAATTAAGTATGGTTATATAAAATATAGCTTCAAAACGAAATACACACGCAATATGGCAGTTAACTTTTAATTAAGTATGATTATTATTTTTTTGCAATCGTTTGTTTTATCTTCCCTTAGATTTTTCTTACTATGATATGTATTATATGGACACTAAATAAATTTAATCTAAAACGATTAAAACGATTTTTTTTTGGATCCTATACACACACTCTTGAGCAATTAACTGTTAATTAAGAACAATTATAAATTTAGTGGAATTTAGTGGAATTTTCCAAGCTTGCTTCGTTTAGGTTTTTTTCGGCTTTAAATTTAATTTGAATACAAAAATCAAAAGGCACGCAACCAATCAAAATTAATATATTAAAAAACTGGCAAAATTATAATATTTTCTGAATAATATTGCTGCTGGCTGGTTGCTGTTTATTATTATTTATTATTATTTTTTTTTGATTTTCTGTTTTTTTTTGTTGTTGTTTTTTTGGTGGGCCGCTTGACGCGGTCTCTGGCATTGGCTTGACACACAGAGAGAAAACACGAACATATATAAAGATATATACAAATAGACGCGGCGAGAGATATGTGGAAGCACACGCGGAAAGTCGGCGCTACGGGCAATATTACTCTTCCAACAGCAACAGCATTAGCTACAGCAATAGCAACAACAATAGCAAAAACAATACCAATACCAATGACAAAACCCAGAGACGAAACCCCGAGCCAGCCGCACGCGATCGCAGCAAAAGCTCAACTGGTCGACTCTGCTCTAAAAAGCGGAACCCAAACGAGCCAAACCGAACCGAACTCGCTGAGAGCTCCGCCGGCGATGAGCAGCAGCAGCAACAACACAGCAGCAACAGCACAGCAGCAACAGCAATAGCGGCAACAACATAGCCGCAACAGCAACAAAACAGCAGCAACAGCGCAACAGCAACAACACAGCAGCAACAACAACACAGGAGCAACTGCAACTACACAGCAGAAACAGTAATAGCAGCAACACCAGCATTCTGCTTCGTGTGTCCCTACCAAAATCCTATCAAAATCCAGTGAAAATTTGAGTGCTCACACTGATAACGCAGAGCAGGCGGATTTGGGGGTGGCACATTCATAAAAAAAATCAAGAATTATAGAAAATATTCAATCGATATTATTTTGATAGATTAATAATTCGCGTTTAGTGAAAAGCTTCACCAGAGATCCATTTAATGCATATTAAGTCTTATAAAATGAATTATGGTTTTTAAATAACTAGTCTGACATCTAATCCATAATCCATTTAATAAAGTCAAAAAAAAAATTGACTTCTCTACATATACTTAATTCAAATACAACAAATCTTAAGCTAAGAATGATTATTTGAATTCCTACTTCTAGAAATCAAAAACAAGAAGTTGATCATTTTTCTGGATGCATACAGACACAGAATTATCACCTGGAGGAGAGAGGGTCCCAACCCGGGGGACAAAGCTCATTAGTTGGCCTAGACTCACCCGCGATGACGTAATTAAATGATCGAAGCCATGACGTCAATGATAATAAGATCCTAAGCAGCAGCGGAAAATGCCGTTACGATATGGTCAAATCTCCCTAATGTAATACAGCAAAATAAACACTTGCAATCAGTTCTCTCTGATTATGATCTTAGTGATCACTGCACAGAGAAAAATACAAATGATCAACATTCTAAAAATGTTACAGTTTAATTCAAAATTATTATGGCTAAGATATTTAAATTAACAGAGTAGATACCGAAACACTCTTAAATTTTAGTTCAATTTATTTAGCTCCTACAAATTGTGTGTTATTGTTTCTTTAAAAAATTATAAACACAGCCTAATATTGTGTTTACCCTATAATGTCTGGGCATTGTTATACGAATAAGTGCATATCATTGTTTGTTTATGGGAACATGGGAAGCTGGCTTTGTAAATCAGCGTACATGAGCTTAGGGTAAACAAATAAAATCACAAGAGAGAAACAGATATACAAGAAAAATAAAGAGCCACAACGAAAAGTGCTCAGGGAAAGAGAAACAGACTTTCTTAAGATCGCCACCCAGATCCTTATTAAATATGAGTCACAAATCACTTTCTCCAGGAGAAAGTTTTTAGGGCCATTAAATACAGAAATCACTATATTTATCAAAATTGCATAAGCAGTAGGGATGCAATCTTCTTGCGAGTTTTAGTTTTGGCTAAGCTTCCTGGGAAGCAAAAATCTGGTGAGATCGCTCTCTTCCGAAATCTCAAGGCCTCCGCCCACTCCGCCCACCTTCCCCGCCTCCTCTCCGATTTCGCTTATCAGTTGAACGATCTCATTTTCACACGATACACGCTTTACGCATGAGCAGCTTCTCTTCTTTGTCTCCCTCGCTCTCGTTCGCTATCGCAGATGCTAGTGACGTCAATGGGACCGGTCCAACAGTCCAAGTCAGGGCTGCAGTTCTAGCCAAATTATAGCCACATAACAGCTATTTTTAAAAATAGTGTTCAAAAGTTGGAAAGTCATAACTCCTTGTATAAGTCATAACCAATCGATTAGCACTCACAGTAGGAAAATTTAATTTTTGGCGAATTTAAAGACAAAACTATAATGTAACGTAAATTTTTACGAATGTTAATTTAAGTCGAAAGCTGCAGAACATATTCTCTAAGCCGAATTTTATGTTGCAGGAAAAAGAACCACAAGATTTATCAAAATTTAATGTTGATATTCGTTTTTTGGATGTCAAGGATTGATCCTGGGCACATTAGGATATACTTGATAACAATTTTTAAATATATTTTTCGTTCAGCTACCTCTAACTTTCTACCATCGCTAATTGAGCACGAGTACCAAGCGAAGAGTTTCGTTATAGCGGAGACAAGCTCCCTAGGTAAAGCTTTTCAAAAAGACAAAAATAAAGCTCAAAAACGATCGGGAAATGGAATCAATAAGTTTAAATTTGTACTCTTCACGTTTGTGGAAACGGTTTTTACAAATTGTTACTTTCTTGCAAACTATATAATAAGTAATAACCGAAGATTTGTTAATTTTCTCGGAATAGTTAAGATTGTCTTTTAATTTAGCATTTTGGGGCAATTTTCAAAAATTATTAATGAGTTTGGCCATTTCCAAAATTACTTATCACAATGTTGCCCTGACTAAAAACTAGAAAACAGAAGGTTTTCTATAAATAAAATTATGTATAATCACAATTTTAGTCTACTACTAAGTGCATTTAGTTAATTTGCCCAAAATGTTACATACGTATATGTAACCTATTAAGATATTATTATTTAATTATTTTCATTATATTCCTGTGACAATACAATACAAAAGCGCCAGTTAAAATCATGAAGAGGTTTAGCTTTTATAAAAAATAATTGTATATGTAAAATCCTTATTGATTAAAATTTTCTTACAAAATATTTACTTCTTACTTACTTATTCTCTATTAATTAATCTTTTTTTTATAACATATTCTGATATTACTGTCATCTTGTTGTAAAAATGCGCTTTAAATTAAATTAAATTAAATTAAATTAAATTAAATTAAATTAAATTAAAATAAAAATAGACATGTAACACATGATTCCACACTTAATGCTGATCCTAACGTGGCTCACCTTCTTATGCCCTGTTAATTAAACTTTTCTTATAAAATATTCTCTTATTACTGCCATTTCGTTGTACGTGCACAAACTACACATGCACATTATGATCCCACAGCTAAAACTGATTCTAACGTGGCTTACCTTCTTCTTGGCCGCCTCGGCGGCACTGATCACGTAAAGGTCGACGATGCCCAGGAGGCAGTCGTCGCAGCGGCAGACGTCCTCGCCGAAGGCCAGCGAGCCCAGGCTGCTGGTGGAGTCCAAGGAGTCGGTGCGTCGCAGGCGGCTGACCACGCCCATGCCCAGGCCCAATCCGAGGCCCAAGGCTAATGGCAGGGGTATGCCACTGCCACTGCCGCTGCCACTGCCACCCACTGTGGGCGGATTGGGTGATGTGGGCGAGGTCGTGGCCGAGCCGGGGGAAGCGAACGGAGATGCGGGGGCGGCAGAGGTAGCGGCAGCGGTAGCGGTAGCACCGCCCGCAGCGGCAGCCGCTTCAATTTTGCGGGCCAGCAGCTGCTCCATGAGCGTCCGCGGACGCGAAGAGGATGGGAACAGGGCCATTTCTGCCAGACGATTGCCACCCACACTCACATTCACACCCACTCCCGCTCCCGCTTCCGCTTCCACTTTCGCTTCCGCTCCTCCCTCCGCTCCCCGCGCTGCCGCTCCTCCTGGTCCTCCGTCCACCTCCGCTGGCGACAAGTTCCTTGCCTAAGTCTTTTGTTTGCCGTTTGCCCTTTAGCAACACGTTATAATATCCCAGATCGAGATTCCGGCTATTTATTTTAACTAAGCGACAGTTGAAACATACCTGCAAAGATAAAGGAGAGAAAATGTTTTTTTTAAATATGTTTTAACACAAATTAATATTTAACAATTAAAAACACCATCTTTGGCGGCTATTTGCTAAATAAATATAAATTTAATGGTTTATTTCCATTCAATTTTCAACTAATTCAAGTCTTGTATTGGTTTTAGTGACCTGTATTTGAATACACTAATCGAAAACAAGTATTTAAACTCAAAATCAAATATATTTTTTATTTTTTTTGGCCGATATTTTCAATAATTGGGCATTATTTAACAAGCTGTAGTATATGGACCAAAGACAATAAAAAGACTAAGTTAGAGTTAGTTTTTAAAAATATGTTAAATATTTCTTATAAAATAGTAATAATATGTATATAATATAACATATTATTACTATTTTATAAGAAATATTTAACATATTGTTTAAAAACACAATTTTCGACGTATATTTATTAAAGAATCAAACATCTATTCATATTTCGTAGTATCTAATAAAATTGAATCCAAACAAAGATCATACAAAATATAAATCAATTTAAACATTTTTGGTTGCCATTTTCAATATCAATATTGAATATATATTAAAGTCATTTTTGGACAACCTATAATTTATAGACCACAAGAGATTGATTTAATTGATTGAACCATTCACAATAAGCCATAGACTACCATACTCATTCATCTTTACAACCTCTAATAATTTTCCCAATTTAAATTAATGGCTCTCATCTATTTAAGCTGGCAAGACCTGTATAAATATTGTATAACTTAGGAGTGGGTAGAGCTAACTAAGTTAATCATTGAAATCTATGTATTTTTGGGGAAGGGGATTTCTCTTTTTGTTTATATTTTACTTATTTACTTTAACAAATACATGTTAAATATCTTTGAGGATTTACTCCAATAAGTTCGCTTTAACTTCTGTTAGCCATTTTCCATTTTAAATCACTCCAATCTCTTTCAGCTGGCATGTCCAGTATCAATACCTATATCTTATAAATCCGCTAAATTAGAATAATCAACGAGATCTTTTTCGGCCAACATTGCCAGTATCGATGTGGAATTCAATTCCACCAATTCAATGTCCACACCCCAGACAATCTTATCTCCGCGTGGCTTCCTTGGACATATGCAATTCAAAAATTTATGGACCACAATTTGTTGTGTGTCGGCGCTTATCTGAGTGGATCAATGGTTGGAATGGAGTGGAGCTGGGGCTGGGGCTATATGGCATATGGCATATGGCATATGGCATATCCATTTCCATATCCATATCCATAGCCCATATCCAAAATGGATAAAGACTTGCAAAAGGAAAAGAGATCTGGGGTTGTGGGGCGTTAGAAGTGGCATTCGCTTAATCGCAGTGCTGATAAAAGTTTCTTGTTAATTAACATGAAAGTGCAGCAGACACGGTCGAGATTTTTATTTTGTTTTTTCTTCAAAACGGAAAATTGAAACCTGCCGAGCGGGGAAAAACTGGCTCGCGAACTCCTTAGCCAGCCAGTTTTCCAGTCATCATCGGCATCATATCGCCGCATTTATGCGCACATAAAAGTTAAATAATAGATCCAAAAGATACTTTTTGCAGCGAACCGAGCAACTCCGACTCCAACTGCAGCAACTCCAATTGCAGTTCCGACCAGTTGTTGTTAGCCAAATGATTTATAAGCAGCTCTGGTATTTGTTGTTGGTTCGCTCTGGCCGTTGTTATACCCTGACCATAAATCCAAAATGGGTACTACAACTTAATAGCCGTCTATATCTATTCTCTAAGTAAACACAGAGTGTATGCATAAATGACCAGGTGAAGAGGAGACATCAAAATTGGTAGAAAACATTCTCTAAATGGCCTTTCTCACATTTACAGAATTATTATCCTTTAAAAACGTGTATTTTATATTACAATATTAATTATAATTATTATTATTATTACGCACTTTCACTCAAAAATGGCAAAAAATAAACGATAAGAAATTGTTAGTCTGCTATGACTAGATTTGTGATTTTTATTCACTGCTTTAACATAGCCTTCGAATAAATGAATGAATAACTAAGTTGAATAATAATAGTTGTCGTCATTCAAAATATTTAACTATACAAACAGACTGGAGTTCCAGGAAAGATGTGACCCCGAAAATATCAAAACATATATCTGAGAAATTTATTGAATAATAATAATAGAGCACTTAAGAGAACCAGAAAAAAGGTATAATAATATATAATAATATATAAATTCTATAGTTAGGAAATAATTAAATTT